ATCCACTAAAACATGCTTATGATATGAAACAAGAAGCCTCATATACTTTCTCTTCAGTCCATTCATTTAGTGCACCCAAAATTTAGGAGGCTATCAGGCCTGGAAATCAGCTTTATGGATCGGTTGAGGGCGTTTGACCTTGGCTGCACATCATCGTTTGCATCGGTGTTTTGTGGATCAGAACGGATTTAACGAGCATTTTATACAAGGATCATATATCGCGTTCCATTTCACATTTAGGTATGAAAGATCTGTAAGCACTGCATGCCTATAAACAGGAGCACGGCTAGGGCAAATAAGTTTGTTTTGCCACGTTTGCGTCAGACATGCCACCGACTGTTTTAAGAAAGCCTGGAAAACTTTTCCTAGCTAGAGACTGTCATCACACCAGCCCATAAAATAAGGATCTTGCTTATAGCCAGCCAACAGCAATTTATTGAAAAAAATGCATTTTTACAACCATGTTTTAAATGACTGTAAAATGATTGCAGCCGAAATCGTTGCTAAAGACTGCGTCATTCAAAAATGCGCGGTGAAACACATCTTTTTTGGGTTTCGCACCGCCATCCTTGATAAATACGGCTACTGGGTCGCATTTCGCCCGGCTTGTTATATCTCTGTAGTGATCCAGGGCTCACCTGGTCTTCCAAGGAGCGGGTCCAGCGACGCCGCTCACTGTCTGCAAGCTCGGCAAGGGAGGCGGCATCTTCCACACCTTCAGGCTCCGGGCTAATCGGCAGGTATCCCAGATTAGCCAACAGCAGGAGTGTGACGAACACGACGAAGGCCCAGTCCCCCGCCGCCTGCGCGAAGAAACAGAGGGTCGAATATTCGTGCATGCTGTGCGATGTAATGTAAAGCAAACGCAACCACATCACTTGCGGTGCTGGGGGCATGTAAAACGCTGATACGAGGCTGTTGCCAAATACCGCTCAATGCTGATGCTGCGTTGTATTCTGAGAGTTAGCTTCTGCATTAGGCCCGCGTAGATCACACTTTGTCAGCAATAGACGTTTCAGCATTTTATTGGTACTTATACTATTACATTGTTTGTTGAAACATGGAACTGTTAATGCAAGCCTCTACCTCTGGTACACGTTACTTCATTTCACGAAAGTGGCGGAGGTCTTACCCAGCCATGATACCTCCGCTCACCCCCCGCTCGTCTCGCTGGGCAACTTGGCATAAAGAAATGCAACGAAAGCCAACTGACCAGCCAGCGACGGCTGCGTTCGCTCCCTCGCTGTGACTCCTGTACTCACGCCTGTCAGCTCTATGAGCGCTTCCGGCTCGAGCTGCGTCTCGTAAAAGTCGATAAACGGCTGCAGCACCACCGGCAGGCCTGGGAAGGTACGGCCGCGAGACGCAGGACCCGCTGCGGCCAGCGCCAGCACCTCCAGCACCAGCGCCCGCAGCACCAGCGCCGCCAGACGCATGACAGTCGGGCGCGGCGTCAAGGCACGCGCTTCACCCGAGACCTGCGCGCTCCAGCGACGGCACTGGCCGTCCACCCGGCCGTGCGCTCTGCCGACGCAGGTGCCCTGAGCGTCCAGGGCGAGCCGATCCGACCAGACAGGCTCGCGCGCCGTCCGCGGTTCGAATCTCACCGCGCGCGCAGCTTTGACGAGTGATCGAACTGGGGACGCTCTGCTGGCCGGCAGACGCCGTCGCGGCAGCGCGGCTGGGGAGGTCGGTCGGGCGGAGTGCCCCGCTTCAGCTTCAGCGCGCGGTCCCGGACGCTGGTGTGTCGTAACAAGCAGCCGTGTGCCCTGCCGCGTGGCGGGTGTTGGAGTGCTGGCGGTCAGCCGGGTGGCCGACGCCGGACTGCGACTGACCGCGCCCACCACCCGCTGACCTGGTTCGCCGGTCCGCAACCGGTTCCTGTTGCCAATGACGCGGGACTTGTTTGTAGTCCCCGGCGTGCCGTTACGCGTTGCGATGTTACTGTTCAGGTCAGAAATATAGGAAATTTAAACATAAGAAGCGGCTTTTGTCCTCTTTCGATGCATTCGCGCAGACCTGACTCGATTTCAATCTACATGGGAGCATAGTTCAATGCAAATCAACAGTCAACAGATATGTGATCGGTTCACACTTGTAAACGTTGGCACATGCAAACGTGATATTTGACCCCGGTTCAGCCCGGTTCTTTCATTAACTCCTGTCCCTGGTTCCTGCACTCAATGGGTTGTTTTGAAAACGCAGGAGCCTGACTCCTAGTAATTGTCCGTGCACATGTTGGATGGTGGAGTGTTGGTGGTGTGCGTGATGACTGGTATTTTCGTGGGCTCAGTGTTTCCTTCACAAACACTAGGCCCTGGTCCCAGATTCCTGCTGATTACTTCAAAACGACCAGGACTTGGATCCTAGTTCCCAATGATTCCTCAAAAACACTACACCCTGGTTTCGTGCTCCCATTGGCTCATTCACAAAACGTCAGAACCCGGTTCCTCCCATTCACTGGCTCATTCGCACATACCATTATGTAGCCATGTGCAATTAAAGGCTTTTAGTTTTGGTATGTGTGCGTAACTGTATGTGTAAGAGCCCTTTCGGCCAATAATGGCTGTTTCAGGGCCTTGGGATGACTGGAGGCAGATGCGAGACTGTGTGTACCTGGGAGTGTGTGTTCGGTGTTCGGACGAAGTGTGTGTTTGGCGCTCGGAAGTGTGTTTGGCGCTCGGACGGAGTGTGTGTTCACCGCTCGGACGGCGTGTGTGTTCAGCGCTCGTACGGGGTGTGTGTTCGGCGCTCGGACAGAGTGTGTATTCGGCGCCCGGGAGGAGTGTGTGTTCGGCGCTCGGATGGGGTGTGTGTTCACCGCTCGGACGACGTGTGGGTTCACCGCTCGGCCGGATTGTGTGTTCACCGATCGGACGGAGTGTGTGCTCGGCGCTCGGATGGGGTGTGTGTTCACCGCTCGGACGACGTGTGGGTTCACCGCTCGGCCGGATTGTGTGTTCACCGATCGGACGGAGTGTGTGCTCGGCGCTCGGATGGGGTGTGTGTTCACCGCTCGGACGACGTGTGGGTTCACCGCTCGGCCAGATTGTGTGTTCACCGATCGGACGGAGTGTGTGCTCGGCGCTCGTGCGGAACGTGTGTTCGGCGCTCGGACAGAGTGTGTGTTCGGCGCCCGGACGGAGTGTGTGTTCACCGCTCGTACGGAGTGTGTGTTCGGCGCTCGGACGGAGTGTGTGTTCACCGCTCGGACGGAGTGTGCGTTCGACGCCCGGACGGAGTGTGTGTTTACTGTTCGGACGGAGTGTGTGTTCGGCGCTCGGACAGAGTGTGTGTTCACCGCTCGGACGGAGTGTGTGTTCGAGACTCGGACGGAGTGTGTGTTCGGTGCTCAGACGAAGCTCTCGCCAGAGGTAGTTACGCCCATTCGTGGCTGATGCAAGTGGCCTGCCCCGGGTACACAGCGCGAATCAAAGATGCAGGGTGAAACGAGAGTGAGGAAAGAAGGGCGGGTGCAACTGAAAGTATGTCGCTGGAAAAAAGTTATCCTGGATGTGTTTTTTATATATACTTGTGCCAAGTGCATGATATATGCGTACCGTGTGAACACACACTAGTTTTTGACAATAATTCCCGGATCCCGGTTCTGGCTGATTCGCTTGACATCATGCTGGACCAAGCTTTTTGCTGGTTCCATGGCATAATAGCAGGCTGGATCTGGGTTGTTGCTGGATCTCTGACCATGCTTTAGGCTGGATCTTGGTTTTTTCTTGTTGGATTCTCATGCACATGCCAAGCCATGCCAAGCTTGGTTCTTGCTGGATTCCTCAGCTTTGTTTCAAACCGGATTTTGGCTCTCATTAGCACTCATAGCACACTTCAGTCCATGATCATGGCTCTTGCTGGATGATACGTTTGAATCGAATTGGTTTCTGGGCTCTCTTTGCTTCCGGAACCAGAAACCAGAAAATGGTTCCCGGAGAGAATAATTGGGAATTAAACGCCTCCTTGCCAACCAACAACGACATATATGAGTCATAGACAATATGTTATGGCAGGCCAGGGGCGCCGGGCTCCTCAAGCATTGTGAAATATTGTAACGTTAAAGGGGGAGGGGAAGCAACAAGATTACGGCATGGCTCGGGGTAGAGACACGTACGAAAAGTGGCGATATGTATGCGATGAAGCACATCCATGCGCCAAAGTCAATAAAACGATATTCTACTACATATCTTATGCATCCGCTACGTTTTCCAAATGCCTATATTCGGAAACATGCATATGACAGGGGATTTCTTGCCTTCAAAATTACTCCTTTCCTGTTTTACTAAACATATCTTCAAAACTAAGTGCGTTGTCAGCCAGATTAAGTGGCCGATTTGGAAAATAGTGTCGTACATCAAATGCGACGGATCCAACTGGACTTCATGGCATCGTCCGTCAGTCAGGAAGCCGGCCGAAGGGCAAAATCTGCTCTTCGGAGAACTCCAAGCCGATCTTTGATAAGTCACGATAGCGGCTGATGCCATGACGATGTATACGCTGACATTATCATACTGATGCATGTGGGATACGATGCATCATACTGGTGGCACATTAGTCACATGTATACTATTCCGCTTAACACAACATAGCACGGCCAGCATCGTCGTAAACGTTGATAAACCTGCACATTTGTTTCGCTCAAAAATCGAAAGATGATGACAAGAGATATCAAACGCAGGTACCGGCAATCTTACCTTTGCCGGCGTCTTCGGTGTTACGGTAATTTGTCGTGCATGTTACGGCCTTTCATCGTCGCATGCCACCACTTTTCGAAAATTTTCCACCAGCAGCACTGGCGGAATACACGTCACTTGCTATTCTTGCAAAGCCGTGTAACACGCGAAGTCGGCTTTGTTTGAACTGCGAAATATGCGTTGTGGCACGTCGCGCATTACTCTCAAACGTTTCAGATGCAACCCTACGCGCGAGTGATAACGTGCGAGTCACAGGCGACATGTCAACTGACATCAAGCTTTATTGTCACTTGTAGCAGAGGTTGTATCCAATTTGATGACATGATAAGGGCAAAACGAACAACTCACATATTGCTTCCGTTCTTCTGTAATTTTGTCATCCAAGGATGATCGTTTGTTTGGCGCCGTGCTTGGCTTACGTATTGCCCAACTGGTGACAGCTAGCTGGCGAGATAACCGTTAGCTAAATACAGTAAACGCCGTAATGAGAACCACATCAGATCAGCGGGGAGGTCAAACACAACGTGTCTTCCGCATCCTCCCGCCGCAGGACGTAACACCACGCATGCCAGAAGCGAGAGATGACCGCAGCTTGCACTAACTGAAGCTGAACACTTACAACAGCGAGAGCATGACGTCCCTCAAGGATTCCGCGACCGAAACACGCCAGAAGGGACGCGCAGAGTCCACCGATTCCGCCCCGTCGAGAGGCGAGCGCGTCTGATCGCCCACCAACGCTCTGGACGCGGTCGAAAATCGTGCGAACGCACGGCCTTGGGTGTGCGGTCCTGCACCACGTGACTGCGTCGGCGGCGACCGGCGTGGCCGTGCTGGGCGTCACGTGATCAGTAGTCGAGTGAGCCCAGTGAGCTGATGGGGGACGAGTCACACGAGTCGGACCCCTCCGAGTCGATGTGCGACAGACAAGGTCGGCCGAGCAGGCTGGCCGGGGTCACTGGCCGCGAAGAGGCGTCGGCCTGCCGCCCCTGGAACGCGTTCCGCCGCCCGTGAGGCGACGGTGGCGGACGGGGCGGGTTTTTGCACGGACACAAAACCACCGCGGGCGACTTCATTTGGTGGCGTGGCACGTTTTTCAGCGATAGGCTTGGCAAACTAATTAGAACTGGTATGCCGGCATCAAGTTATGGATGTTACAGGAAATGACATTCTGTAATGACCAAATATAACTGTGATTTTAGGATGTGCCAAAAACATTCTTTATTTGCACCGGTGTTCAATGGCTGTATGTACAGGCTAGGACGCATCGGTTAAGTGGATAACATATTTGATGAAATGCATATTCATACCATTCAAGAAATGAAGTGCGCAACAACCTTCAATCTTTCAAACACAATCGGGTGAAACGAAACCGCCAGACACAGTTGGCGCCTGGTTGCACTAAGCGATGCTATGGACCCAGACACTTCTATTCACGCCGCATCGGCAACACGAGATGGAAAAAGGTCAATCTGACGCGCCTTCGGTTCGAAAGCCCTTCATGGATACGCCCAGCCAATGAATTAAGTCTGTTCTGATACTTGGCCCACACGGTGATAGTCGACAGTGCGTATGGCTCCGTAGTTTTGCCTTAGGATATTGAGGACGGGAATGACTTATTGCTTGTGGTTAAATTTCAAAAGGCTGCAACTGACATTTTACACGTCATGTACGCAGCAAAAGTAGAGGAGGTTCGTTAACCTGGGTTGGAAGAAAAGGATGAGGCGGCCCGAACCTTTAGTGACAGAAGTGCATGCATTTGCTCGATTTCACAGGACGATACCAAATTAACTACTTCCAAATGCTGCTGAAGAACGAGACAAACTATGCGTTTAAATACAGGCCGATCTGGCGACCCGATGCCGTATCAAAGTGCATGCAAGTAGCGGGCAAATGCCAGTTGGCAGCCTGGTATGCTTTGTACCTGTTACGTACCCATCCTATAACTCTAACTGTACGCAACGTGAAAATTTGCTGCCTGTGTTATCGACGTCATATACCCTAACAATGAAGCGTATATTCTTACGGCTAGCGCAGAATGTGACGGTATGGACTTGGGTGTCCATCCTGTGAATATTGGTATGGGAGAAAAGCTAAGTTCGTGCACTACGGATGGAAGACGTCTCGCTAAAAAGCCGATACCACAGCCCAGAAGCAGTGATGTATAAAACAAGGCGAAAATGGTGCATGTATCTAATGCATACACCTATTATTTGTCGCTGCTTCTCTTCTTGTCCTGAAAAGGTCAACATCACCCTCAGCACATGTTTTACAGCACAACAATAACAAGACGTAATGCCTGGAATTTCTCGTCAGAAGACGGAAGAAATTCGCCACTCGAAACAAAATCACATATCTTAAAATTACGTCATGATCTTGTGGGGTGGGCACGCGCAATGTGGACGCCACTATATTCTTGCACTTCATTTCATTATAATTCTGAGAGCTCTGGGCGGCCCACGATAGACTGAGAATGTAGACCATCATCTCCTAGACCATTTTAAGCATCCATCCCTCACATCATCAGGAGTTGGAAGCTCCGCAGCACCAAACGTTAAGTAAAACCTGACGATAGCACGAAAAGTCCCGAAGTACTTGCCGTGCTACGTCACCCGCCGTCCGTTTTTTCCCCGACACTTAGATGTAGGTCAACCATCCGACATCAATGGCGTGCTAAGTCGCATTCGGCGGACAAGACCCCACCCTCTCCCTTCTATCTCAATCCCCGCCCAAGGATCGCCTGATAGCGCGCTCCTCCGTCGGCCCAAAGTCCGCGCCGGCGGCGGCAACTGACCTGGCCGGCTCTGGCTTTGGCAGGCGCCTCCTGGGGCTCGGCCCTGCGCAGCGAGTCCTGCGGAATCGGCTCGTCGGCCAGCTCGACCGAGTCCTCCTTGCTGATGCGGATCACGGGCACGGACATGGACGAGGCGGTCGAGTCGCGTTTCGCCGCCGCGCCATTCTGGCTGCTCTCCATGCTGCGCGACTTGGCGCGCCCCTTGCTCCCCTTGGCCGCCTTCTCCGGCTTGGCCGAGAGCTTGTCGCGGCCGCGCTTGGCTTTGGTCGGCGGCCGAGGGTCGCGTCTCGGCTCGACAGGCGCGGCGACCGTCGGCGCCGGTGAATGCCCCGCCTGGCTGGGGTCCGAGCGCTGGGAGGCGATCCTCTGCCGGCGCCGGTGCACCGCCTCCAGCAGCAGCTCTGCAGACAGCCACGGCCGCGTCGTCAGACGCCGCGGAGGACACGTCAGCGGGCGAGGCAACGGACACACACAGCGGACAGAGCGTCTGGCATAACGACTGGAAGCCGTGGACAAGGACTCGGTCACGGTGTCAGACACGGCCGCGGACGTGGAGACAGGACATTGACTCGGACACCGTGTCACACACGGCCGCGGACACGGTGTCAGCCACGGCCTCGGACACGGCGTCCGATGCGGCCGCGGACACGGCGTCAGACATGGACTCGGACACCGTGTCACACACGGCTGCGGAGGCGGCTCAGGCACGATGGCAGACACGGCGGCAAGCATGGCAGTAGATAGACAGGGGCGGCAGACACGGCGTTGATCACATAGCCAGACAGATACAGTGACCCTTTCGACTTAGGTTCACGGAACTTGCCAATGCAAGTGGTAGTCGGATATGGCGCGTCGAATGATGAAGGCCTCGCAGCGATCGGAGCAGTAGACTAGTGAGACATAATTTGTCTCATTTTATGTGTGAAATTTCCCTTTGCGCTTTTAAGGTGTTCGGCCCGTCAGTTCACCACACTGCCTTCTTCATCCTCAACTCATTAAGCTGAATCAATTGTTGAAGGCTTCAAAGCGATCGGATCAACGGTTGCGAAGAACAAGCATGTCTGCTTGACATGTCGGTTTTCAGTCCCTTCCTGACACGACAGCAATCGCGGTGTCAGACAGTCGGGTACATCTCCAGTCACAACACAGTCCTCACAAAGTCACAAAACTGCCTGCATGTCTAGCTCAGTGCTCAAACCAGACGGCCTGGACACGCACATGTAGCATACCACAATCACATAAATACGCATAGGGAATGTCGACTTGTCATTCAGTTTCCAATTCAGATTATGCACTTTCTAAACGTCTGGTAGAAAAGCATGTCCGGCAGGATACAATGTTTCGGGAACCTGTTTGAAGACTAGCGAATGATCTGTTCAATACAGCAAACAACTTGAAAAGGCTGATGTTCCACTTTGGAAAACACAAGCCATAGCAGTTACACATGGTTACGACGGTTGGATGTGGACACCAGAAGCATTGAGCAACTACGGCCTGTTGGGCGATGACGTCATGACAGCAGAAATGCATCGAAAGGCCATATACGATCCCAAAAGTGCAGTAACCAGGGCACCAAGGAGCGCAAGGACAGCCATCGACCACATCCTGATGAGCCTCTATCTCTGCAACACATCACCTTTGGCCCTTGCTTCTTTTTCCTTCTGCGTTTCGGAGGTTTCCCATTGGCAGACTGGTCATCCGACCTCTTCTGCTTGGAAAACGTGTTCTCGAGCAGACGGCTCCACTTATCGAAACGGCTTCTCGGGCTCCTTGGTCTTGGCGTCGGCCATCTTGAACATCTTGCGCCGCTCCTCGGTGCGCTCGCGGCGCAGCTGCAGGCGCAGGTCGTTGTTGGACTCGCGCAGGGAGCCGGCCAGCGAGAACTGGTAGAAGATCACCAGCACGAGCAGCACCAGCAGCGGGATCACGATCGCCGGTGATGAGATGTAGTCCAGGATCTGCAGCCAGCATCGCCGTCACAGCAGGACAGAACCAGGACAGATATCACTTTTGAGGTAGCAGACATTGCCCTGTAGAATCTAATAACTCCGCCGGGACCAATAAACATCTCGGTGATTGGTGGCTCACACGAATGCAGTGAGCTGTCGCACTTATAGACAAATTTTTGCCAGGTTTTGTGGTGGAATCGCCGATATTACACAATTTTGCCTCCTCCCCACCCCAAATCACTGAAGGCAGGGGACCGTACGCATTCCATCAATATACGTACGATAGGTAAGGACCAGTTGAGGTGCATCAATATCCTAATCCAAAATCAAACACTGTCGTTGTATTCTACATGCAGCCGCATGGCAGCTCGGCCGGGCTTGAGATTCTCCCGCCGGCGTGCCGCCCAGCACCTTGTTAAGACTGTCGGGTAGTGCCCTCTGCAGGCCGTTGGTGAAGATCTTGTAGGCGCGCAGATACTCGCTGAAGGGGCCGCAGTGCCAGCTGGGCTCCAGCCACACGATGGCGTACCCCACCGGCAGCGTGCACAGGAACAGCATGA